GTTTAGTCAAGAAGTTAATTTCCTATGTCTTCTCTATATAAAATTTTCTTCTCTTAGCAAAAATAAATTTTTAAAATAACATTTAGTGTTTTATCTGCCCATAAAATCACTTTTTAATATGCTACTGAGCATGATATCCTAAATTTGGGATTCACCTGCTAAGGGTAACAAGGGCTGCATGGAGCATTTCAGTCTCTCTTCCAGTTGACTCAGGAATCTGAATGGTCACCAGGTCTATTTTTATTTTTTTTTCTGAAGAGGTGATGCTCTGCCCTTCAGTAATGTGTGGCCTAGGACTCCAAGAGGGACTCTTCAGGTTATTCTCTTCTACTGGCTCCTATTCCTCCTTTCCAACTCAGATTACAGAAGACTAATAGTGTCAAGGGCTAAGTTTCCTGGTTCCTTCCCAGTTGCTTCTATTTATTTTCTTAAAGGCACCTGATGCCAAATATATGTTGTACCTAGCAAGAGTTGAGCTTTATTCTTCCTTTAGGAAAAAGAAGTACATGCCTAAAAAATTTATTTTATTCTAACTTTAAAATCTGAGATATACTCAGTTGCATTGTTTACATAAATACTTATTTTTAATTATTGCTAAGTTATTAAAATTCAACTTAAAAATAATTAATTGTAAGAACACCTAACTTGAGATCTCCTCTCATACATGTTTAAGTGTATAATAATATTGTCAGCTATAAGCAAAATGTAGATCTCTAGAACTTCTTAATTGAAACTTTATACCACTTTTGTCCCCTTCCCCACCCCCTGGCAATGATCATTCTGTCTGCTTCTGAGTTTGACTCTTTTACATACCTCATAATAGTGAAATCATTCTGCTTGTGTCTTTCTATGATTGGCTTTTTTCATTTAACATATGTTCCCAGGGGTCATCCATGGTGTTGCATATGGTAGGAGTTTCGTCTTTTTAAGGCTGAATGACATTCCATTGTATATACCACATTTTCTTTATCCATTCTTCCATTGCTGGACATCTAGGTTTCGACATTAAAATCATTTGGTGGTCTTTTCTCAGTCTCTGTATGTATTAGATCAAACGTGTATTGGACAATTAGTTTAACAGTATTATTTCTGAGACCTATTCACTTTATTGAAACCAGTAATATTACGTTGGATATTAAATGCCTCCAAAGTCTATGCCTACCAATATGATATATGTATTTTACCTTTTTCCAGTTTCTTATTGGTCTTTCTCTACCTCATTTCCGACTCTTCCACCGTGTACACTTTTTGTTGGAAAAAAACTGCAGCCTAAAAGGGTACAAATCACACGGTATAATAGATGAGTATTCACAGAGCGCACACATCCTACCATCTCTCCAGAAAACCTGTCAACTTCAACACTCAGATTATTTCCCCTTTCCCTGACTACTCACCTGGTCTCTTTGCTTTTCCAAGATAAATATTTTAATCCTATACATATATATTTCATTTCAGCTTCATTGAATTATAATTGACAAAATTATAAAATATTTTATGTGTAAATTGTGGTGATTTGATACATGTATACATTGTGAAAAGAGACCCCTCTCTAGTTAATTAACACAACTATCACCTCACTTATTTCCCTTTTATTATGTGTGAGAACATATAAATTCTGTCCTCTAAGCTAATTTCAATTATAGAATGCAATGTTATCAAATATAGTCACCATGTTTTACATTAGAACCTCAGACCCCATTCTTCTGATAGTTTTTAACCTTTTTACCAACCTTTCCCTATTTCCCACACCCCAGCCACGGACAACCACTTTTCTACTCTGTTTCTATGAATGTGACTTTTTATTTAAATATATTTTAGATTCCACATATAAGGTGATACCATACCATGCAGTATGTGTCTCTGTCTGGCTTGTCCATCCATGTTGTCATAAATTATAGGATTTCCTTTTTTCTAAATGTAGGCATTCATTGTGCAGTGGCAGCATCGTAGGCCGTGAGGGTTATCTGAGTTGTGATTAATGCTAATTGAAAACTTTTCACCTGGCTCCTAATATACATATTAGCTTTCTGTTTTATTTTTTAATTTCCCTGAGTAGAATAGTATAGAATAATAGATTTCATTTGTACCTGGCTTCTTTTGCTCATCATTCTGTGTGGGAGATTCACCTCTGTTGTATGATGTTTTAGTGTGTTTACCTCGTGGACTTGTTCATTGGTTCCAGTCATTGGCTGTTGTGAATACTGTATTTGGTGTACAATTGTACAAAATTGTGTTGGGTATATAAATTGAACTACATTGAATTTCTGTGCAACATAATATGTATTTATTTGACTTTAGTAGTATTGTCAAACATTTCCCCAAGGGTTTTACTAATTGATAATCTCTCTAGAAGGATATAAAAGTTCCAGTGCTCCATGTCCAGTGCTCCAATACCCTGCCATGGTATTGGTGATTTTTTTTCTTTTTATTCTTAGCTCTTCTTGTGGGTAAACTGCAGCAGTTTTAACAGCAAAAACGGATCTTGTTACAGTTGTTTCACAAAACATTTGTAAACTGCAGTCATCAAATCGTATATTAGTAAAGTTGAGGGACTGCACACTAAAATAAACATCTAGGGAAGTAATATAAAGTGAATGGAATTTATTAGATGTAAAAACAGAAGAGCAGATGGGGGATCCTATTGTGACTCTGGGTACAGATGTAACACTGTATGGTTGAGAACACAGCAGTAACTAGTAGAGACCATGATTGCTATAAGGAATAGTACCACTAACTAAATTCATGACATGTGAAAATATGAGACCAGTGTTGCCGTTTTATTTTTCAACAGAAATCTAAATCCAGATTTTTTTATAGCAATTTCTGATTAGAATTACGACAACAAATTCAAATTTTTTTAAAAAATTGTTTGTTGGCCCTGGCCAGTGCTGCTTAATGGTTAGAGCATCAGCCTCCACCAAAAAAAAAAAAAAGTTTCAGGTTTGATTCCTGGTCAGGGGCATGTATCTAGGTTGCAGGCTTGATCTCTGGCCCCACTTAGGGCTAATTCAAAAGGCAACCAGCCGATGTGTCTCTCTCACAGTGATCTCTCTTTCTCTCTCCCCTCCCGCCGCCCCGCCCGCCACCATACACATACACACACTTCCACTCTCTCTATAAAGCAATGGAAAAAATATCCTCAAGTGAAGATTAAAAAAAAGATTGTTTGCCAAACAGAGCACAACTGACGATTATTCAGGCTGTGAATTTCATTTTTTTCTAATGATATATTTGTGGTCTCAGAGAACTTTGATCTCCTTGAACCAACAGAATTAATTCTATAAAAAATAGATGACTTTAAAAATAAAGTACCAACCTATTTTCCTGTGGATACCTTTACTTTTTCCTCCTTCCCTTTTCTCACTTCATGGCAAAGTTAATTTAACTTGTTCAACCTACTAAACGTTAAAATAGAATTTAAAAGGGAAATATAATAAAATTGAATTTAGTTATTTAAAACTAGCTTCATATGTGTATCTCAGGAAAAAAACATCTTTCTATAAGAGTAGAGTTGGACAAAAAAAAATGATTGTCTAGAATTTAGAAATAGAAACCTTGAAAGGGCTTTTATTGGTTTAATTATATTTAATTAAATCTAGTATGTTTTAAAATATAAACATCCTTGGGAAATATCACATGTTATTGTAATTATCAGATCTTTTCTTAAGAATAGCTTTTGAAAAGTAGAAGTCTTCAGGGTACTAGAAGACAGCAGGAAACTAGAACAATAAACAATGATAAAGATAATGCTATAATTTTTCTCAAGGCTAAAGTCTGTTAATAATATGTTAAAATAGAGTAAAATATTAACTGCCTTTGATAGTTTTAAAACAACTGATAGGCTCATCTGTAACCTTTAACAGATTTACCTTTATAAAAAATTCCATATTTACCCCCTCAGTTCTAAAAACATAACCGTATTTTGTGTAAAACAATCATAGCCAGAAAAAAACACATTTGGATATGTTTGACTAACATTTGTAATTAAAGTTATTTTGACAGGAGTATTTTGAGAGTCATTGAATTCTAGGTCTGGAAATCTGACTTTGAGCTGAAATATAATAAGAATTTGTTTTCAAAATACAATTTCTCTTTTTGAAAAATAGGAGTTATCCATGGAGTCTGGAATTGATCCTGGCCAGGAATATGGACAAGATTATTACAGTTATGAGCATGGGTACATTTTCAGACTTTTTAAATGCAGTATCTTAATATTTTTATGAATAATAAGGATTAGTAAATGATTATTGCTACCATTCATGTTATGTGTCATTTTATTTGTTGCATCTTTGAAAATAAGTAACATATCTAGTTTTAGTTTCAGTAAGGTTTTAACCATTTTTCTATATTGAATTCCGTTTTGATGTTCTATATTAATATTGACTACAACTCTAAGAATGCAGTAAAAGTTATTCAAAATTATGTAAATGGGGGGAAAATAGACATCATATTTGCTCAATTCCTGAATTCATCATTGTTTATATGATATGTTTAACATTTCATCTAACCAGTCACCCTCAAGATTTGCCCAAGTTAAAAAACATACTTCAGAATTTAGTAATAAGCATTTCTACACATAAGTTGCTTTCTAAAAATACAGTAGAGAAATGTAATGACCATTACAGATCATGTTTGAAGCAAAGCTTTACTGTAAAGATAGACTTTTTGTTCTGAATAAGCCATTATACTTTTAGAAAGAACCTATTTTGTGTCCTAAATTTTTCAATTAGTAAAGAAACAATATTCCTAAAGACTTACCCAAAACTTACTTTGAAATAACTTGACTCTTTTTATTGTTATTCCAGGATACCATTATGGCAAAAATCATTGGTCATCAGGTTGTAGTACCTACCTTTTGGTTTTGTAATTAGTTTACCAGGTGCCTAATAAGTTAGGTATAAGTATCTGTTGATTGAATGATGAAGAAAAAGAACAGTCATGGTAAAACCTACCTAGATCACATAAAAAAAAAGTTTTAAAGTTGTAAGTTTCTATTACAGGTATGAAATGCCTCAATATGGAAGTCGCCGTCGCTTGTTACCACCGGCTGGACAAGAGGAATATGGTGAGGTGGTTGGTGAAGCTGAGGAGGAAGAAGAGGTAATTACTGTAATTTTCTTCTGTAAGGTTAATAATCCAAGAACAATTTGTTAACCATACTTGCATAGCAGGCTACAAAATTTTCCAAAAATCAGAAATTCTGTTCACTTAATACATGTTTTCCATAGAAATTTAATAATGCTAACCATCCATTGTCTTGTCTGTAGAAGGAAATTAATTTTATATAAGTTTAATTTATATCCTTCTATAAAATGTTAGACACCAGGTATAAAGCTGCAATAAAATTATATTTTCTAAAATCTTAAATATTTCCCCATAAAGATAATATTAAAATATATCAAAGATTTCACAAAACAATGTTTACTTTTGTTTCTACATTGTCCAGCATACCTAAAAACTTGCGAAAGGTACAGTCTCCAAATTTTTTTAGGTGTGCTGGACAAGGTAGAAAGTATAGTCTCCATCTTTCAGTTATGAGAAAAGTAAAATATTGTCACCGATATTTAATGAAATGTTTATGTTTAAAGTAGCGTAAGTTGTGCATAGTTAATTCTTATATTTTGCCTGAAACATTTACTTGAACATTTATTTTAAAAAACATGCACACAACAACGAAATACCATAGTGCTATCCTGTTCAAAATTAAGAGAAATACCATAGCTTTATCCTGTTCAAAGTTAAGAAAATAGTAAAATTTCCTGGTTATTTAAAATATTAGTAAAGGAAATACATAAAAATATTAAAGTCTACAAGTGAGAGAGGGAAGGCGTTATGATTATTTCTCTCTCCTTCGATATGAGATGCAAAATAAATTTTGTATAAGAAAAAAAATGAGAAAGCATTAAATTTGCTGCCATTAATACAAGCCAACATAAAATAATTCACTTTTGTTAGGTCACGTTCTGTGTACATACAGTGGGAAAAACAGTAGGTAGTGATGTGGTTGTTTACTTAAGAGCAGTTATATAACTTGCATGAGGTTGTCACCTGCAGATTCACTCCTGCTTAACTTATGTGGGACAAGGTCACATCATAACCATCCCCCAGCTGACACTTCACTTGCATTTTTGTGATTTTCAGGAAGAGAAAGTTAAACCCACAGTTGAAATTAGAGAGCCTAGTGAGGAGGAAGTAGTTGTCACTATTGAAAAGCCACCAGCAGCTGAGCCTACTCATACAACATGGAAGAGAGCCAGGATATTCCCAATGATTTTTAAGAAAGTTAAAGGGCTAGCAGAGAGAAGAGGCATCGTTGTCCTTGAGGGTGAAGAGTGGCAGAGACGCCTTGAGGAAGAAGACAAAGATTATTTGAAACTCACTCTGGACCAAGAAGAAGAAGCTACAGAGAGCACGGTGGAATCAGAGGAGGAAACCTCAAGCGACTATACTGAATACACGGAAACAGAATCCGAGTTCAGTTATTCTGAGACGACAGAAGAGGAGTCGGAGTCAGAGACACCTGAGGAGGAGGAGGAAAGTTCTACCCCTGAATCAGAAGGGTCGTCCACAGAGTCAGAAGGAGAAAAGGCGAGGAAAAGGATATTTATTGCAAGAAGAAGGCCTGTTGTTGAAGAAGTCGTGGAAGTCAAAGGTAAAAAACAGCAGCCACCTGAAGAGCCAGAAGAACTGCAGGTAGAAGAAGAAGAACCCCCAGCAGAAGGAGAGGAAAGTGAGCTGGCCGCCATAGAAGAACCAACTGACCTTGAACCTCAAGACGTGACTGAGGAGGGCAGCATGGAATCAGCTTCGGTGGAAGGAGGTGTGGAGAGTGAGGAGGAATCAGAATCATCCAGTAGCACCAGTAGTAGCGAAAGTCAGTCTGGAGGCCCCTGGGGCTTTCAGGTGCCAGAGTATGACCAAAGCAGGAGTGCGAGCCAAAGGAAGCCTCCGGGAGCAAACGCTGAGGGTTACAACACAGCCCTTTAGAAGAGCTCACAGTAGGTGGCAGTTTTGCAGTGATGAGTGCTCTTGTGTGCAGTGCCTTCTGTGTGCTCTCTGAAATGACACTTGAAAGGGAGGAACTTGATCACAATTTTGATCTGACTTAAGATTAGAAACATGCCAGAAAAGTGAATATATATGCTACCCACATAGATGTGTATAGTAGAGTATAGGTTTAAACAGACTCATCTATCCTATATTAGTAATTTAGAAGATATGACATGCAATCAGTTAATCAATATTTTCTAGTGGGATTTCTGTTAATGCAATGTGGCATTATATATTACAAGGATGCCCTCTCTACCGAAATGTATTATATGAATACATATGGTGGGTTTTATATCATCTTTTAAAAATAACTCCTAAGGACAAGCTGCAACAAATGAAATCTCTAAAAGTCGACTTTTGCATGTTTGCATATATGTACATTTCAACTGGCAAAGGTAGTATCATAAATATCATAAACAGGTTCAAACTGATTTGTGGTTGGCACTTTCAAATATTAGAAGTTAAATAAAATACATTTTCTTTAAAAATTCAATTTCCTACAATTCTGTTGTGGATATGAATTAAAGTGAATTTAGAAAAATTAAATTGTAATAACATTTATGCAATTTTTATAGGTAAGTAAACATAACAATTTTAAGATATATATCTGAAAATCAAAAAGCATAGCTTACTTAGGGCAATGGGCTGGGAATTCACATATCCTGAAACTGTAATACTGTTTTGAGAATAACCTAGTATTGTTTGACCTTTGCTCCATGCCGTTTCTAATGTGGAATGATAAAAGTAAATTTGTGAAAATGCCCATTGTGTTTCAGTTGCTTACAAAAGGAAAGTTTATAATAATTAGTTTGCAGGATGGGAAAATAGTTTCTTTTAAGTTAACATGAACTTCAATGTGATCACCCGGAAAACCAGGACACTTCAATGGAATAAAAGCACTAAATTATACAAAATAAATGAAACAACATTGAAGGGTTAATTAGGAATTAGAACAATGTGGGCTTAAAAATATCTTTACCCTACTGGGCATGGAAATATTCTTCTGAACAGAATATACTAATGCTATACGTTCCTTTCAATTTCGCTTTCCTGAATAGTATAGCAACTGTCAAACAATGGATCAGATCCTTAGCTAGATAAAAATATGCCTTTTTTTCTTGTAGAGCAGCAATTTTATCTAAAAGAATACACGTGCTTCCTAAAATAAATGTCTACTTCCCAACTCAGCAACACTTTTTTTTATTTTATAAAGAAAAGCATTTATTATTCATTTTAATTATACATACTTCTATTGAGCACCATTTTATGCTAAGCAACACTTTCTTCAGAAGTTATTAAACTGTAAGCTCAATGAAGAATTGGTGAGAAAGAAACGTGTAAATAAAGAGTTGCTTCCCTCTACTTCTTTTGATTTATATACCTTTGATAGCTTTTTTGCAAAGGTTAGAACTGGACAGGCATTGTCATTTTTGCCCTTTTCATTCCTTTGATACTATCCTACTTATTATTTTTCTCTATTTTGACAGTGGGCAAGAAAAAGAATGATCAAGTTAGTTGTTGATCGAGATTATGAAACGAGCTCAACTGGAGAAGACAGTGCTCCTGAGTGTCAGAGAACCCGTCTTCATCATCCGAATATCCACAGTAACATCAATGGCAACATATACATTGCACAGAACGGTTCTGTGGTGAGAACCCGCCGTGCCTGCCTCATGGATAACTTTCAAGTTGCTTCCCCTGTGCGACTGGGGAGGCATTTTAAGAAACTGGACAAGTTGGCAGTGACCCATGAGGAGAACATCCCCCTGAACACGTTGTCAAAGGGGCCATTTTCTACGGAGAGAATGAACACAAGACCAACTCTGGTTACATTTGCCCCTTGCCCACTGGGGACTGACAGTACAGCGGTGAAGCCATTGGGGAACAGGCTGAAAAGCACAGTCGAACAGGAGTCGATGATTGACAGTAAGAGCATCAAGGAAGCTGTGGAATTCCACAGTGACCACACGCAGTCAGAGGAGGAGGAGCTTTGGATGGGCCCTTGGAACAACCTCCACATACCAATGACAAAACTGTGACGGATTTTTACAGAAAATTATTTTCATTTTTACTTCCGTTTTTAATAAACTGTGCTTTTTATTGTCACTGAGAAAATAATGTATGGGATTTGTATCAGGCACACAAGCTAAAACTTTGAACAATATGCTTTAAAATTAAAAAATTGACAGATTTGCACTGACATTTGTATCAATTAATTGTTCTTCCCAGAAAATCTTTTTGGGGCAGACTCTCAATTCACAAGATAATATATCATTTAAATATTTAGTTATTTTAGTGGGGCTTGCATTTTTTCCTCATTTTAATAAACAAGAAATAATTTACTAAGTAATTATATATATTTTTTGGTTGGCATAACTTGTCATGTCTAGCGTCCTAGAATTTTTTTAGTACATTTCACTTTTCATTTAAAAAAATGGGGAAAATTTTGTATTAGACTAGGATTTTACAGATAGTGGGTTTATACAACTGCTGTCTATATCTGCTGATTTTTTAACTGGAAGATAGAATGACAAAGTGATAGTAAGTGTGGGAATCTTCTGTAAGTGATTTAGAATCATGAGTCTATTTCCCTTATTGTCTAGTATAAAGATTAAGTTTTTACATATGTATATGTTGACTTTTTAAGGAACACTTGAGGTCATATCTCTTTTATAAATATCATTTACAATTTTCCCTGGTGTCCCACTTACTACACATAAATACACACGACAAATACTCTTCGTACCAAACATAATTGGCAATTTTGTTTAGCCATCTGAAGTTAAATAATCATTTGGAGCATCACAGAAATCTCAGTAAAATGTTACCGAGATAGGAAAGGGTCAAATTGGCCATAATGCATCTAGAACCACAATTTCGGTAAGAAAGATGTAGTAAGATCAGAGAAGTTTCACACTAATATCACTAGACATGAATATTTTATCAACTCAGTATAAAGGAATTTGGTAGGATCAAAAATTTACATAATATGTGAAATGCCTATAAAGGCTATAAATCCATAGCTTCAAATATATCATAGCATATCACTTCTTCCAGCTCCAGTTTATAGAATATTTTAATACAAATAATATTTATGTGCATAAGACACAGAACCAGAAAATGCTCACCCGACATTTTTTAATCAAAGGCAAACCTTGGAACAAAGCACAGTGTTTCACCATTAACATAAATGAAAACAAAGTATCCTTTTAAAATTTCCCTTGTGTGTTGCACACTTTTCAGATATAAAAATGATGAAACAATATAGTTTAAGAGGATTCAAGATTCTACTGAATATGATTCAGTATGCTATACATACAACTCACCTCAATTTTGCACAGCACTGACCAAGTTTAGACTTAAGTAAAATTCTCTCATGCATGTTTATTATATGGTTGAAAGACTGAATAGTGCTCTCTCATTTACTTTGCTATCACGTTTCATATTTTTAAAATAGTTTAATATAGTGCTATTTCCTTATGTCTAAAGTGAATGGATTGTATGTAACAAACTTGCCAACTTACATGAGTAGTATGTTTTCATTTAAGGTTTCAAAAGTATTTGAGATCAAATACAGTAACATCTCATTTATCTGACATTATTGAAAATTAATACATTATATACATACCTTGCTAGAAAAACTATCAGAATTAACTGGGAGCTTGTTAGAAAGATAGACTCTTGCCCACACTCTCAGGTCTACTCAACGAGAATCCATGTTCCTACAAGATCCCAAGGGTGTTTATATGCATATTAAATTTTGAAAATTAATTATCTATACCATTGAAACCCAGGGCTTTCTTGAAGCACCAAAGTGATTGCTTTTAGTATAAAATATTTTAGATAGGAATTAGATTAAGCATATTATATTTTCTTACTTGCTCAATTAGAGATCACTAAATATAATTTAATGTTTTCCTGATGTTCTGGGGTCATCTCAACTAGTGTCCCAGGAGATTCTCTTTGCATACAGCTTTATGAATTTTTTTTTGCTTTGTCCAAATTCAGGCTATGATATTTAGCTAATTCTGTCACTGTGCCTCTCTCTAAAATGTATCTTCCCGTTTACTTCTAATCTCCTGGTGAGAACGTTAGTTTGTGTCTTTGTTTTGCTTGTTATTAAACCTGAGAAAGGGATCAGATATGTGGATTCAAAAATCAAAGTTTTGTGACTCTCAGAAGCTTTTTGGGGTCACTATGGATGTCTAAGCACTGTTCTAGAAACCTGAATTTGTCAGAAGACTAATGCCCTAAGATATGAGATGTCACTGTATTTTAAAGTTCAATTTTACAACGAAATATGCAAAATAGTACAAGCTACTCAGCAGACATATTTCAGCAATTTCAAGATGATCATTTTAGTAAAAACAATCATAAAGTTAACCTACCCTAAGTTAGTAGAGATAGTAGGAAAATAAACAGTATTTACACAGAGAAAAAAATCAAATATTTGGTCAGTATATTTTGAGGTAAAGTATACTCAGCAGCAAAAGCATTACCAACTAATTACATAAATCTAGACATAAATTTAAGTAGTTACTTTGAAAGGACTTTCACTCTTTTATGAAACTGACTCAGGATTAAAGTTGTGGAACCCAGGGGAGATATCCAAGTATGTTTAAACTTTTCAGAATACTTCATATATGATATTTCTATGTAAATGTTTATAAAGAAGTTGGCAGTTATTTTTCCTAGATAGGAATAGCAATTTTTTTGTTGCCGTTCTTAATCAGTACCAGCTTTTAATCAGGCAGAAAAATAGCAAATCTTGGCTGGTTACGCTGAGAATGGACTAATACGACTATAATATTTATAAACCTGTTGTTTTTAAGAGACAGTGTTGTAAGCATGAAAGGAAAGGGGAGGAAGACTGAAAAAAACAAAATCAAGCTGACATATAGGATATTTGTGACTCAATGACCATCAAATCACAATATAATCTCTCTGTCTAGACTTCTCTTTTTCATTGATTACAGAC